TTAAGAAGCTCCGCAAACTCAGCCAGAGACTCTTGCCTGTGAAGGAGAAGAAGAATCCTTCCGAAAAGAAGGCAAGAACCACAAAGCCGGTAGTGAAGAAAGCCAAGGCTTCAGAAGCTGGTATTCATGTTGTTTTGCAGATGACATCGTGCATGTCTTCAGAAGTTAATGTATTTTATTGCATCCAGCTTCTAAAAGGGTAGCGCAGTCATAGCCAAAAACGATGGGTTTAAAGAGGCGGAGAATGATCCCAGCGGTGGAAGTCACCATTCCCGCGGGCTCTTCCTCTAGACAGAAGAGAGTGACTCCGACCCTATTCAGGTGGATTCGGACGATGCTATGCAGGTCTCAGGGGATAAAGAAATCCTGAATGAGACACCCTGATTGTATTCGTGTATTAGCTTGAGTTAATGCCATTCCTAACTTTTTGTTACTGAAATTAGCTTCACCAGAGCCGCGGCATTTGAAAGGATCAAGCAATCCAAAATCGAGAAGGTCGCAGAGGCAACGCGAGATGAATCAGGCTGTCAAACTGGTTCTCGTGTTGAGGTTAGAAATAGGTTAAATCCTCAAGAGGTCGAGAAGGGTGCGGCAACCCGAACCGATGCCAGTCCTTCTCATTGAGAGACCTTTTCTTTGCAAGATTCTGAGATCCCAGCGGTGGAGAATGCGAGCCATCATGAGGATGCTATCCCTGATGGTTTTGTTGAACCCAAATCTCTTCCAACTCCGATGGGATGGTGCTGTTCTGGCGATGCTTGATCGCGATTTCGCTGCTAAACTTATCTGGATGTGCAAAATGAACATGAGGTGGGGTAAACCTCTAAAAGAGTTAAAGCGTGCAGCAGCGATAAGCGAGGCAAACCACCAAATCGTTCAGGTATCTTCTTCCCTTCTTTTTGTAAACTTCTCTCGATTAATGAAATATTGGGGATACGTTTTCTGAAAACGATTTCCTATATAGGGCTTGGGAACGTATATGTCTACGCTGGAGTCATACGATTGAGATCTCTGCTTAAAAGAGATGAAATTGGATGGCGCGATCACCGAGTTTGAAAGACTTCAAAAGGTCGAGGAAGGAGCTTAACATCTTCAAGCGAAGTGCTAGCACCTCGAAGCCGAATTGGATAGCCTTAAGATGGGAGCGGCGGAATCATCTCAACTTCGCGAGGAGGTGGGTTCTCTCCAAGCGTGAGTTGAGTTCCTCGAGAAACAGGGTGAAGAGAACGCACAGAGGTTCCTTACCGAGAAGGGGAGGCTTCATAATTTTTGAGATGAGGTAGCTCAGCATGTTGCCAATAGAATCTTTGATGGAATGCTTGGTTGGTTCATGCCGTGAATGGAGCGAGTTCAAGCGTCGCTTGCTCAACGAGAAGAAGTCAAAGCTGCCCTTGTCGCATGGAGAAGAACAGCGCTATGATAGCGTATTTGGAAAAGATGCAAGCTCAGGGATGGGACATTCCTGCTGGGACAATCCCTGCTTTTAAAAAGAAGCTCATAGAATGGGGGTCTACAAGTAATGCTATTGATGAAATAGTCATTACCGAGGATGACCGTGCTCTTCCTGACAGGTTATATTGCTTTTTCTGTTTTCTTGTGAGTTTTGGATAGTGTTGCCATATTTACTTATTGTTTTGTATTGAGCAGATCCGCCCTTGCCCGCTTTTGAAGGATGCACAGGAAGGGATCTCGGCGCTGGAGGGTGTGCTGTCAAGGGAGGAGCCGAAAAAACGAGCTTCTTCTCCTTTGTTATTATTTGCAAGCACTTTACGGCTCTTTATATATTGACATTGCCTAGAAAAGATTTTATCCATTGATTTGCGGAGTAGTGTGAGATGCGTATTTCTACTTTATGCAAATAGATTTATCATTTTTTGCGATGCGGTGGAACTTTTTAGTCCGGTGTTGGAAGCGAATACTTATTCGTCTTATACCAAACGACAACAAAATTGAATACTGCGTTTTTCAGGATTCACTTCGGCCTGAAAGGTTGTATGATTCAGAGTCGTGCGAGTATTGTCCTCGGCTTCCATATTATCCACTTTGGAAGTAATTAACTTGAACCTAAGTATCAAAGGGTGGTGATCAGCCACAGAATTAATTTGCGTTTTAAGTCGAATGTTTGACTAGAACATTGACTATATTGAATGCATTCCCAAAGATGAAATTGCTTAGACTTGCAAAGTGATTGGTCCTCCTCGTATGCTGAGCTAATTGCCAAAGATGAAAAAAAATAAAAATTTATTAGATTTATAGCTGAATCCGGAGGCTGCCTACGTATCCAAATCGTGATCAAGCCATTCGTAGTTTTTTACAATTATTGAATGAGTGTTTAACTCATAAACCACACTGGCGTTTTATTTAATGCGAAAATAAAAATATAAGCTGCAAGATTCTGGTTGAATATAATGCGATTTTTTAACATCGCAAGGGGCTGCCACCGCGGTGAGTCGCAACTTGCGTTTGCTGATAAAGCATGATCGTGCCATCTGCTGGTTTCCGCGTATCGAAAAGATACCAGTGGAAGTAGCGAACTTCATGCATTAGTTATAGGTTAACATGATAGCTTTCATCTCGTGGATCCATAGAGTGTCGAGAATGGCTTTTTAGATTGCAGGTTTATCCATGACAGTGAATTGGACGATCATGGTTACCGTACCGACGTAAACTGTCAATCTTATTGTGTCAATTCTGAAGAAAGATTTGACGAACCCGGTGAGTGGCTTAGGCGCTGCTTTGATGTCTTTATTGCAAAGTCCCATCTTGGTGATCGTATCTTTGAAGATGATATTAACCGTACTACCGGTATCAATCAAGATCTTTGTGACTTCGCTTTCGTGAATATGGAGCTCGACGACCAGCAGGTCGTTATGCAGAGTGTAAAGGCCGCGCATATCTTTCACAGTAAAGGTGATTGTCGGCTAGTAGTCCACAGTTCAGGGGAATTTTCTCGAGGTGACAGCTTTTCTTTCGAACTCCTAGATAGCATGGACCAAATCATCGCAATCGGGTAGGCCTCCCATGATCATATTGATCCGTCTTTTGGGAGGTGGAGGTGGGTTATCTTGATCGTGGTTCTTATTTTTTGTCTTCTCATTTTTTGTCGGGTGATCGAATTTGGTGTCGTCCTCCCGAACTGTCTCACCTGCTATCCTTGTTTTTATCTTGGCGTTCACTGTTCAAAGTCCTTCGGCGCCCATATTTGTTCCTACTTCGTGTGTAGGTGTTCTTGCTCTGGGATCAGTCTCCATCGACTTATATCCATCCTCCTTTGTATTTCTTGTATAAAGAGCTTTGGAGATGTCGACAGGCCGAGGTAGCGTGTCCTGTTCGGCCGTGGAAAGCCCAGAATACGTCATGGTTATCATCTCCCTCATCTGAGGTCCTTGGGGGATCGTCTCGGTTCCACTAATTTCAGGGCCTCTCTCCTGCTTTTATGATGGTGTGCGAGGACGGCCTGCTTTAACTTGTGAGATTTCCCAGATCCTTACCTTTCTGCTTGCTTCTTCCACGCCGTGCTTTTTAGCGTAGAAGGTTTTCTCTTCTTCCATTCGGATGAAGCTGAGCTTGATGGAGTGCATCCTCTATAGTTTCCGTCGGGTTCTTCAGTAGATCGTCTTTGAACGTGGATTTGTACCATAGCCCATTGATAAATGCCTCTAGTGCTAAGGTTTGTGCTATCTGGCCATACACCGTGGTGACATCTTTGAATTTCTCTATTTAATCACGGGGAGGTTAATTGCGTTCATGGGTTAGAGTAAAGAGGTTGATAGTCTTTTTGGTGATAAACATCGAGTAATGTTTCATGAAGGCGGTCGATACTCTTTAAAGTTCTTGATCGATCCGGGCGATAGATTGGAGAACCACTTGAGAGTGTCTTTGCTGAGATGTTCGAAAAAGATGATGCAATGGTTTGCTTTGCACTCGAGATCAGTTTCAAACCGCTGTCTTTTCATGGCGTCGTTGAAGCCGGTCAGCCACAGGTTGGGCTCCTCTGTTCCGTTGTAGTATGGTAGTTTTAGCTTAATCGCGGCGTCGAGACGTACATCGGTGATCCTTGGGGCAATCGGATTTTTCTCTGTATCAGACAGGATCGTCGAGATCTCGGGAGTCGAACTGGTGGTCCAATGTACTTGAGATCTGTTAGCGTTGATTCGTTGGTGTAGTTTTGCAACTTCGGATTCTAGTTCGTCCAAAGGTCTCTCAGCGTTCTCTGTTGCATTCTGGACGTCGTCACGGTCAAGTGTTTCAAAGAGTCATCGTCCTAGTGGTGCTGATTACACGGTGATTGCAGCTGTCAAAGTGCTGAGTTATTCGTTGTATTTAGCTTGTTGGACTTGGAAGTTGTCCAGCTTGGACACCAAGTTTTATGTAAGTGGTAATAAGACGGCTTAAATTGCTGCAGCGAAATCGACAGATAAAATAGAAGCCGGTGGTGCTCTTGTAGGTGGTGGAGTTGCAGTGCTAGTAACGATGAGATTGTCGTGCTCACCGAGAACAGAAGGTGTGTCACGAGCAGTGCTATCCTGCTCGTTGTTGAGGACGCTCGTTAGGGAGATTCATCGCTCGAAGAAAAGTGAATAAATGATCTTTTAAAACTATTTTTGTGCAAATACTTTAAAACACTTTTAGTTTTCCTACGGTAACACATGTGGATTACTGATTAGTGTCGCAATAGAAAATTACAGATTAATTTGGGGTTTTTAAGTAATTTTCCTCTAGCAACAACTCCGTGATTACTACTGTACTGGCAATAGAAAATTGAAGGAAAAGTATACAGTAGGGAGCGTTGCATGTAAAAATGAAGACAAGTGTCCCAAAAGTAATAATCGTCATGCTTTACGCACACTTATACTAGCTTACCACTAGCAGCCAGTCACCTCGATCGAATATTATTGCTCCGATCATGGATCAACCCGATAAATGTTAAATTTCATAGTAAAAAAACACACAAAACAACAACTTCAAGAAGTGAATTAGGCGGCGCAAGAAAGAACAAACCCATACGCTTCTCTCCTCTTCCTCTGCTTAGCTTTTCAATAGTTATTAATTATTGTTCCTTTTCATCTTGAAAATTCTCGTAAAGCCACAAGAATTTTCTTTCCAATGTTCTCCATATCAGCTTGGAATGATTACAAAAAAAAAAAAAATAGTGAGACCAAATTCTTCTTTCTTTCTTTGCACTAACAATAAGATTTTATCGTTTAATGCCTTTCACCTTATTAAAATATCCTTTATTAATCGTTTTGAGTAAAACAATACATCTAGCTCATAAACTCATTGTTCGATGCCTCCAATTCTTCGGTTCAGAAAACTATGCTTCTCTGATATTCCTAAAGCGCTATCCGGGACGAGGATACCGTTATCCCGGAAGCCAAACAGCCATCCACCACTGCCGAGAAACCAAAACGGCGTCGTGTTGGGAGATGGAGCTGCGTCGACTCGTGTTTCTGGGCTATTGGGTATCTATGTACGGCTTGGTGGCTCCTCTTCTTCCTCTACAACTCTGTTCCGGTCCCGAAAATGCTTCAGGCTATCTCCGGGGACTCGGTTGAGTCGAGAAGGCCTGAAGGCGCATCATCCAATGGTTTTGGTCCCGGGGATTGTAACCGGCGGGCTCGAGCTCTGGGAAGGTCGGCCTTGCGCCGAAGGTCTTTTCCGAAAACGTCTTTGGGGCGGTAGCTTCACCGAGATCCTTCGAAGGTAAACAAAATATTAAGTTTTTGCATCCAACGGTTTGGTTAGAAAAATTAAGGAACGGGATAGCTATTTTTTATTTTTTTGGTCAAAACTAATTTTGTAAGATTTTAGAATTCTAAATTTGTTGGGAAATTAATTATTCGTAATTTTTTCTGAAAGATTTGTACATGTATATGATGACTGGAGATGGAAACCGTACGATTTAACGTCTTTATTTTATTTAGAATATATTATCCTAAAACAATCGAATATCACATGATATTGTCCAATATATGCAATGACGATATACTTCATTGTATTTTTCATATTATTAGTTTTGTAATTTGACTGTAATTTTGGCGTTCTTTAATTTCAAATCTTTTTCTTAGATTCATTATTGAATAACATAGTTTTTAAAAAATCATCAGAAATCAATCATATTTTTTTATTGATAAGCCCTCATATGATTTTGATTTGGTTATGGTTTAGATGGGATGTAATGCTTTGGTTTTAGATGATTCATAATGTTTGAAGTGCTTAATTTTGATTTAAATGATTCTTTTATGGGGTTTTTTATTGTAAATTCTGATTTTGATAAAATTTGAAGTGGTTATAGTTGCTGAATTTATTGTTGTGATTTGATGATTTAGACCATGTGCAACAGAGGTTTTTAACATGTATTCTTAGGTTTATAAAGCATTTAATTAAATGAAAATTAAATAAAAAGTGAAGAGCTGATCCTTAAATAAGTAATTTAAGAATCGATTTTTAAGTGTTAAGTGTCATTTTCTAGGGATTTGATCTTTTTTCTTTCTTTCTCCACGCTTCTCTTCTCACCAGTGATGCAATAGCGATTCGAGCTATTAATCACGCGAAATCACTCATGTGCTATGAATCATGCGAAAATCACTTCTGGTTCCTCTCTCTCTCATCTCTCGCCTAAAACATCATCCACAACAATGGCCTCCAAAATCCAAATCCGAATTGGAGTTATGGGTTGCGCCGAGATCACTAAAAAAGTCTCTCGCGCGATCAACCTAGCTCCAAAACAGTAAAGTTCTCTCTTTTATTTTCATGTATTTGGATGATATCGATATGGGGATTGTTCAATTTCAATAGCTCTGATTCTGAGATTACGGTTATAAAGTTGAAATCATGCATAGAAGTTGTTCATAGTCTCTAACAACTTGCTGCTGCTCTCTAGAACGATTGACATTTAGCTCAAGAGCTAGTATCAAAAGTTGTTTCTTGGTTTCTTTAAGATTGGATAGTATCAAGAGCTGTCTTTTGATAGTTTCTTTCTGAGGACAAAGAGCCAATATGTTCTTAAGTATTTGAAAATAATCTAACTATCTCTCTTAATCTTAATACCTTCCCCTTATTCTTCTCTCTATTTTGCCCACACCCTTCTTCAATAAAATAATAATATCTAAAATTAATAAAATATATAAAAAGAAAAACAAATCTATAATATTATAATTATATTCTCAACTAAATTTCAACTACCGACGAGTTCCACATCTTCATTTTCTTCATGGCTTTTGCTGGTTGGCGGATTCTTCATTCCTCTTGTTTCCCAAAACTCAACATTCTCTATCTTGAAACTGTATGGGAACTTTATAAGGTGAGTCTGTTGCCGCATTATCTCCTTTACATACTCTATGAATCTTAGAATAATAGAGAGTGCTACACATTGTTACTCTTGGTCTTCTAATGGCGCCATTGTTCTGAAATTTTTGTGGATGAATATATAATTGAAATTCTTTGTTAAGGGTTATAGATCGGTAAATAGGAGCAGTTATAATCGTTAAATGAACATTAAATCATCCCGATTCGTAGTAAATCGTTGGAGATTCGTAGATAAATAAAAATTTTTGGGTACACGAACAGGGTACTACTGGACCAATTGGTATTACTAAGACATCAGGTAATACTAATAGAAGTAGTATTACAGGAACAACTGGGTATAACTAGACTAGGACTAGTATTACTGCTTGCATTAGTGAGAGAACTGATATGATTGAGACATATACTAATGATATTTGTTATTGTTGTTAAAAGGACAATGAATATAAGTCGTTGCACTATTATATGCTTTGATTATGGGGGATCTTATTCAAAGGAAGATGATGTCATAAGATGGGTATCAAGAGAATATGAAATTCACACCTTAGTGATGAAGACGTCTGTTGAGGAGGTAACTTATGCTGGGTTGATCAGTGGAATATACAGGAAGATGAAGATATACGAAGCTAATACGCAGCTGAAAGTCAGTTACTTTCCATTGGTAGTGGATCCTAAGCCATCATATATCTGGAATGATGAGAATGTTTTTGGCTACCTGATGCAAGTGAATAACGATGCATGTAGAAGTGTTTTGCACGTAGAGATCGTAGAAGATGTCGATCAGGGTGTTGTGCGACCTTCAAGAGAGGATCGCGAAAGTGTAAATGGTCCAAGTAATGAGCAGGTGTTTTCAAGTGGTATGGATGTTAATGCTGGTATAATTACTCTTCATGGAAGTGAACCATCAGAACGCCATCAAGCAGAACAAAGAAATGTGTCTAGGGAGAGGTTGATGATACCGAGTATGGACCTGCTATAGAAGAAGTAGCGGTAAATAATGGCTGGGAAGATGGTATTGAAATGATTGTAGGTCAAGAATATAAAAGTAAGAAGACAGTGCAAGATTTAGTTCATGTAGGCTCACATCAGAATTGTTTTGAGGTTGATACAATCAAGTCTGACAAAAAGCGATACGTGGTGAAATGTTGCGAAGCAAAAAATGGTTGCAAGTGGTCTTTACGAGCTGCAAAGTTGATGGAATCAGATTGTTTCTCGGTAAGAACTTACAACAAGATGCATACATGCTCTCGAGCTTCTGCAGTTACAGTCAGGAATAAAAGGAAAGGGACACCGGGATTGGTTGCATCTGTTGTGCATGAAGATTATCCGGGTAAATTTGACACTCCAACTCCAAAACATCTGATCGATATGGTTCAAGGACGACTTGGGGTAAAAGTATCATACTCTACTGCTTTGAGGGGGGAAAAACAAGCTGCAAATGATGTGCGGGGAAGTCCAGCTGAGAGTTACCAGTTGGTGTATTCATATATGTACATGCTGGAGTCGATGAATCCTGGTACACGGACTTATGTGGAATTGGACGAAAACAAAAAGTTCAAGTACCTATTCTTTGCGTTAGGAGCTAGCATTGAGGGATTCCAAGCCATGAGAAAAGTCATTGTTGTGGATGGAACCCACCTTAAGACTTGATATGGTGGTGTTTTGTTAGTTGCTACAGCTCAAGATCCTAATCATCACCATTATCCAATTGCATTTGGTGTAGTTGATGGTGAGAAAGATGCTAGTTGGATGTGGTTTATGAACAGGTTGAAATCAGTGATACCGGATGATCCTGAATTGGTGTTTCTTTCTGATAGAAACTCAAACCTCATCAAGTCTGTGCATGCGGTGTTTTCATTGTCTCAGCATGGGTATTGTATTCAACATTTGTCTCAGAATGTAAAAGCGAATGTCTACTACGTCAACAAAGATATATGCGTTATGAAGTTCAAAGAATGCGCTCATGCGTATACAGAGAGTGAGTTCTTGACACTTTTTGATGCTTTTAGAACCAAGTATCCTTCCGCAGCCCAGTATCTCGATGGTAGTGTTCCTGTAGACAAATGGGCAAGATGCTATTTTCTAGGAGAAAGGTACAACATAGACACCTCAAATATTGTAGAATCTATTAATGGTGTTCTTAAGAAAGCAAGGAAGTACGCTCTATTACCAATGATTGATGTGATTGTTGATAAGCTGGCTGAATGGTTTAACAAGCATAGGAACAGTCCTTCTGAAGTATCAAGCACCCAGAAGCTTGTGCCTTATGTGGAGAAAGAACTGCATAAAAGATCACCGGAAGCGAAGAAATTAACGGTGTATGAGTTGAACGCCTTCTTCCTTGAATTCAGTGTCATTGGAAAAGACGGCAAGTGCTATTTGGTTTATTTGAAAAGGAAAAGCTGTAGTTACAAGTGTTTTGATATAGACATATACCCATGTGTGCATGCAATAGCTGCTGCCATTTTTATGAGCGGAGACCGGGAACTTCATCTACAAGAGTTTTGCTTGAAATATTATTGGATGGAGCTATGGACATTAGCGTATTACAGGATGATTTATCCAGTACCACACAGGTCTGATTGGATTATTCCTGAGCATATACAAAACCTGGTTGTCATACCACAAGATTATGTCGCAAAGGAAGGAAGACCTCAAGAAAACCGGTTCCCATCAGCTGGAGAACACCGAGGAAGAGGGAGAGGGAGAGGGAGAGGAAGAGGAAGGAGAAGAGGAAGAGGAGGGATGTGGTCATATTTCTTTAGTGGTAATAGTGAGGCTGGTGAGGCTGGTTAAACTGTGTAGCTCGTTTGTGTTTATTTTGTGTATTCAGAGCACTTGGAACAACTGGTGCAACTGATAGTATTTAAGACAGTTTTTTTTATTGTATTAAAGAGTCGGTTTGTTTTTAATTGAATTTCGAACATTCGATATGAAAAAATCTTGTATTAATTTATTTAGAGTTATATTTTATTTTTAAAGTTAGTAGAAAAACCTACATTCAATATGAAACAATCAAATAAAGAACATTTACCTAACAAATACCATACACTTCTATGAACACTTTCTAAATACTAACCACCATATAAAGCCATAGACAGATACGATGAGTTTTAAAATATTTTTAATGCATAAAACCCTCAGGCTTAACAACAGAAGGACTAAAATCATCTGTAAAACTACAAACAGGAAATTTATTGCGGAGTATAACTATATAAAATTAAAAACACCCAAAAGTACAACTATTTAAAGATAATATAACTAAATAAATATGGATTACTAAGTGTAATTTTGGCGGCGTCCACGTAAGCAAAAAACAGTGCACGTGTTATTTTGGTGGCAAACGTGGTAGGAGCGGGAAATTTTTGGAAATTCAAGACGGTTTTTCCCTGGTTTAGGGTAATTTGTAGAAATTGGGGTCCTAGGGATTTCGTTCATTTCTCAGATTTGAGTTTCCTCCTCCCTTCTCTCTTTCTCTCTCTACAAACTTTTTTTGGCCTCTCCTTCTTCCTCTCCTTTACCTTCGCTCGGTTTAGGGTTAGTCGATCTATCTCTCTCTCTGTTAATATTGATCTCTCATCTCTCTCTACAAATGGATTCGGATTGTAGCTATCACTACACGGACAATTTCCTCATCGACCCATACGAGGAGGAGTTGAAGGAAGAGAAGATGCGCCGCAAGGAAATGGAGAAGATGAAGCAGCATTGGGACATGGTTGGATTTGTCGCCGACGGCCAATATGGGATTCTGAGAAGATGCCCATGTGGTGGATCTATCAAGCACGATGTATCTCCTTCTCCAAAATTTAAACACGATTTCGATACTCAACCAGGCAGTATGTACTTCACATGCACCAAATTTAAAGTATAATCTCTATAATTTCAGATCTGGGTTTTTTTCTGGGTAAAACTAGTAAAACTAGGCTAACCTATTTAGATGTTCTTCGCGTGTAAAACTTGGAATACTAGGTATAACTATAATGAATGTTGCTCGTTTTTTTGTTTTTTTGCTAGGATGATGGACTCCACTTTCGTCAGCCATGGGTTTTCGGAGTCGAACAAGACATTGAGAAGCTAGTTATGAAAGTTGAAGAGCAGAGCAAGACGATTGAAGAAATGTGAAAACAGATTCAGATCCAAGCCGAAGAGATAGTCAAGCTCAAGACTTAACGAATCTGCAATTTTCTTTAATTGTTGATTTAATTGTTGTTCAAGACTAATGTTTCTATTTTGCTTATCAATGATATTTTAATGTTTTATAACTATTTTTAGTGTTTTCATTTACTTGTTACTTTGTCAAACACAAATCAAAACACCAAATCTAAACAAATTAAAACACCATACCAAATGAAATACTTTTAAATCCAAACATTAAATCCAAACTTTAAATCCAAACAACATATCAGCATTCGAGTTTTAGTTCTAACTCATTCTGAAAACCAAAATAGAAAATGTTTTAAGTCCAACTGGACTATTTTTTCCTGCTCCTCTTGGCCTTTTCCTCTTAGCCTTTCCTCTGTGTAAGGAGGTCGCAGATGCTGGGAACGTTTTATCTTCCTCTTCTGGGGTTCGTCAGTTGCCTCCTTCTCCACTTGGGACTGTGAACCGCTTTTTTTCCTTCGATACACCTGCTTACCCCGTGCGGAAGATGTCCCTTCTGTCTAAAAACACAAAGAGCAGCCACACACATGTTAAGGACCTTTAGCATTCTGCCTCCTACTCTTATAAGACTGCTATATCGCATTATTGAAGGCGAATTACCGCTTCGCTCTTCTGCCTCCTCTTCCTCCTCTGTCTCCTTAGCCGCTTCCTCCTCTCCTACCTGCTCTACCTCATTCTCCTTCTCTGCTTCATTCTTATCTCCCTGCAAAACACATACAGTTAAACTCCCTGTAAAACACAAACAGTTAAACTCCCTGCAAAAGACAAATTACCTCCGGTTCCTGTTTAACGCCTGTCTCTGCCTCCTTCTCTTGTTCCTTCTCTGGTTCCTCAACGCCTGTCTCCAACTCCTTCTCTGCTTCCACCACCTCTGCTTCTTGCTCTTGCTCTTGCTCTTCTCCCTGCAAAACACACAATTGTACTTAATGTTACATAGTATTACTTTTCCGTTTAGAGGTCTAAGTCAACCAAATCTTACCTCTGCTGTTTTCTCTCCATCCGCCACCTCTTCTGCTCCCTTATCTGCTTCCGGGACCACATGTGGTTCATCCATTGGCTCGGTTCCCTGCAAAACACACAAATGTACTTAGTATTACATAGTATAACTTCTTCGTTTAAAGTTCTAAGTCAACCAAATCTTACCTCTGCTCCTTCTGCTCCATCATTGTTATTCACAGTAGAACGAGGAATGTAATCATCATAATTGACGTCCGCATACATGCTTCGAGCATCTAATTGCTCTTTCACATAGCCTTCCACTGCTGCAAGTCTTGTATCGAACCCAGCAAACTTGTCATTCATCTCCTTGAACCCACTCTCCATTTCCGTCTTCAGACTCTGTACGACCTCAACCAAGTCAGCGACGGAAGTAGTGGCAGTATTGGCGGCTTTGGCGGCATTGGCGGGCTGCTCTTCTACTCGGGCGGCCACGTCTTCTTCGTACATCTGTTCACAACAGACCGGCTTGTCTTCATCGTTAATACACTTCAACCAACTATGAACAACAGCATCATCGACATCATCATCGTCATCTTCTTCAGTCACTCGAGCCACAACAACTTCTTCCTCATTGTAAGGGACCAAGATGCTATCAATCTCCTGTGGATATAAACAAAGATTGCAATTCCAATCATAAATAAATTAAAAATGTGAAAGTTTAAAACGTTTGAATTTAAAAGTATTACTGACCTTAGTTGTACCAAGTGCTTCATTTATTTCCTCGAGAGAAAATCCTTTCATGGTGCTTTTTTTGAACTTGCTCTTGCACATCCTCGGACAAGTTTTCCTCGCAGATGGAACAACTTCTCGGAATTTCTCCTTTAGTGAAGGAATTGCTTCAAACGCTAGAAGCTACATATGCCACATATATTTCGAGTTAGCTTCAAATCTATGGAAATACAAGTACTACATATATTCATATTTACCTCCAAAGGAATGCAGAAGCTTGGAAAAGACCAATTTGATCCGCTAACTGATATATCATGGTTTTTATGGTTTTTAACCATGATATAAGTCCTTTTTATTGAGTCTTTTTGGTCTTTTTAGAGTCCTAGAAGAGTCTTTGCAGGTTAAAGCATGTCTGGAGCATAATTGGAGATATTGGAACCTTTTGGAGCATTCTGAGTTGAAGCCACGAAGTACTAAGATCGAAGCAGAAAGTATTCACCAATGGTGACGATCGTCACCCCATTGGTGACGCTTGTCACCCAGAGAGGAAGGAGCGTGGCTATTTGTTAAAAGTATCAAGAAGAATTGCAGAATTGGCCCAGAAGTTTCCTGTATTTACATGAAGACCCCAGATCGTGTTTAGCTTCTATTTATTAGGTTTTTCAGCCATTGTTGGCTATTATCTTAGTTTTTGAGAATTCAGAGAGCTAGAGAGAGATTTTATTCAGAGCTTTTTGGGGAGACAAATCCTGTACTCTTTAGAGAAGATTTCGAACCCCCTTTGTTTCTTACTCTTTCTCTTAATGCAATTTTATTCAGTTATGCTTTGTGATCTCATAATCATGTCTGAGTAAACTGCTAGTTAAGTTAGGGTTTCTCAAAGATTGATGAAAAGAGTGTAGAATCGCTATCTGTTAGGAATATCTCATAGTTTTTTCATCTCTGCTTGCTTTAAAATCAAATTTCTGAGACACATCATCTAGGAATCCGAAAATCATAGGTTGTTAAATATATGTGAGAGCATTATTCATAACCTGAACTAGTATTTGATGAGCAAAACAACTTAGTACAAAGAGATTTGGCTTAGGAGTTTTGTAAACAATTGAATCTGATCATTCCTGCATACTTAGGTTGTTAGGATTTGCAAAGAGATTTGAAACTTTGTGATCTAGGTATAGATAACTTCTGCAATGAGAATTGATTAGTTATGCATTAGAGATTCATGTTTAAAAACGGTTCTTAATCATTCCTGATTCCCTGCATTCTACATTCTTGGATTCATACCTGCGAATTATCCTAGCTTAGCGCTTTTAGTCTTCCTGAAGTTAGAACATATCATATCATCGTTTGTTTATTTCTAATTATTCATTCGCATTACATACATCATATTTTGCTTAGCCTAGTCCAAATCTATAATTGATAGTGTAGTCAGCATTACTCTCTTGGGATTTCGATACCCCTTATACTACATCTGCTTTGCTGTGCACTTGCAGTAGTTTTTATTTGGGTAAAACCTGAACCCTATCACTAACAACCCCTTCAAAACGATCCACAGTATGCTGGATCTCTTCCATATTGTTATCAAAAGACAATCTCCCCCAGGGAAATGTCCTACACAAATGCAGATCACTGACTGCTCGTTGAAAGAGCCGCTCCACACAAGTAGCATCACTTCCTGTCTTAGACTGCCCAATAATGACGCTTGATAGAAAGAAAAGGATGGCCATCCTTAACAGATCTGAAGAATATTTCATATTATCCAGCTTTTCTTTCACATCTGAGCATCTTATTTTTTTCCCCGCCCCAAAGTGCTTCTCCACAAACTCCATACTGCCCATTTCCGAATAGTTAGGAGGATAGCTGCGACAGTTTCAACCGGAGATGAGGGCGTGTTCACGTAGACTATACCAAATGGGCACGCCATTCACAATGAACCAGGCTTCCTTTTTCCTCTCCGTAACCGCCGTTCGAAGAATCAGCAACCACATCCCCATTAACTTGTGGTTTGAGTCCTTGTGCATGTGGAAGAAATGTTTGAATTGGGGGTGATCCACAAACCAACTCTTCTCCTCTGGTCTAAGTGGATACTTTAATCCACTTAGCAGTAAATCCACTGCTTTATACAACACCTTGTAGACAGCTTGATCTTTTTCACGTACTCTGTTGGCTGGAAGGACATCTCCATAGGAAGCATTGGCTCGGTTCCCTGCAACATAGTTGTACCAAGTATTACTTTTTTTCCAGAAATTCTTAACATACGAAATGACCCTAGTTTTACCAGTTTTACCAGTTTTACTAAAAACTCAGAATATTACAAATTCGAAACAAACAATCAACAATCAACGAAAAAGAAAACCTGATAGCCTAAATTCTAAATTAGAAACAAAGACTCGCTATACAATCAATCACCCAAAACGAAAGTACTTTAACCAAACGATACCCAAAACCAACAAATTCTTTCAAACTCGAAAACCAAGTAACGACGGTTCAGGGGTTACATACCATTGAAGAATCGGATGCGCCGTCGTCCGTGACGGTTTGGCTGCTTCCGTCGCCTCCATCGTTGCCTCCTGCTTCTTCGTTCTCTGAAGATTCCGGGTCCGAGTCTTCATAGACAATCTGAGAGGTTCTCTTAGATCTTCGAACCTCCGGTGGAACCTCATCAGTTAAACCATAATTTGGCCTCTTTGTACGCGCCATATGCCTACATGATCAATCCAAATTGGTTACAATGGAATCTATATCGACATCCATCTCACAAAACCGACAAGATTACGACACTTACCTTCTCTGATTCGCCTACAAACCGATTGCTGTGGTGAGAGTTGGATAGTTTGACTTAGTTTTTCTTAGTAACTGCTCGTAGTAGTCCCGACGAACTACGATCAATCGTCGTTTCGTCCACTTTTTTCTTTTAAATTTTGCCCTAAATTTTACTTTTGATCGATTGAGAGGAGATGAAGGGTGATTTAAGCGGCTTTTTATAGTAAGATATGACTAGGATCCGCGATATATGGACGGATTAGGGTTTGAGTGGATTTGTCTTGGTTGGATCAGTAATTTTGTTAAGTTAGTAAGGACAGAATCGATATCTACTCCTTTTCTCTATTTAAAATAAATGTTATAAAATAACCCAAAAAATAAGGGGTACATTGGATCATTTTCGAACCACCAGGAGCATCTCAGCCATTGATCCTCTCTCTGATTCAGACCATTTTATTCAGCTAAAAACTGTAAAAAAATTTCTTTTATTTTTTGAAATTGGATATATCGATATGGATTTCTTTAATTTCAGATGAGAGCTATCGAATTAGAGTCATGCATAGATGATTGACTAGTAGAAATTTTCTTTATCTGAGAACGTATAGTGTTTGCTTCACTGAAAACGAGCTTGGGATCTTCCAATGGGGGCTCTGGCTGAGATGGAGAAGGAAGAGAAGGCGAAGGCTGTTATTGAGACTGTTTCACAGTTTCCTTTCATGGTTGGTGGAATGCCCAGACCCGTGAGAGCCAATACTGCTAAGCCTGAGATGTTCTGCGATCGACAGGAAACCAGGCAGGAGGATCCAATGTCGCTGGATAGACCCGAATTCTACTGAGTACGAGAAGGCCAAGAAAGCCAAGCGACTTGTTCTGAAACACACTGCTGAAGCTTCCTTTGTGACAAAGGTGACTATGCTTTTTCGGTTTCTCACTTTCTGTGGCATTGGGGAATCTGATTGTGGTGTTGGTATTATTCTCCTCTTGTTGAAGACTTGCGAGCTCATGTGAACGTGTTTTCATGTATTTTTCATTTTCTGTTTCAGAAACAGCTTGAGGATGCAGAGAAGCTGAAAATTGAGATCATAGATAAACTCATCAACACAGATGTTGCTCAGAAACTGAAGATTGAGATCATAGATAAACTCATCAACATAGGTGTTGCTAAGTGCTCGTAAGTGAAATAGTTTGGGAGATGCTGAAGCCAATAAATAAGACCTTCCATAAACCGTCACCGCCTTCCCCGGCGCTGTCTTAAATGAGGCAGGAGCGATCCTCTTCCGTGGAAGATGGAAGACCGCAACCATATACTGCTCTTTGTGTTCACGACTTCATCATCCTATTTAAAAGCTAAAGCATGGTTAACACATAGTTCAGCCGAAAATTTTATAAATTAAACAATCATGGCTTATCCACATATTTTGTATAGTTAATTGATAACTATACTATCAAAGAGGATGTATGTTTTTCTCACAAGTAAAAACCAGTGTTTTGTATCCATAAACCAAATGTTGTTTGCATACCCTATATATTAATAGCATTTGCACTTAATCAATTTTTTCACTAACAATTTATATTTTCTGATATATCTATATTTTGAGTTGTGTTTTTAGTTTTAATATGCCAACAAACAAACTCTCATTTACTGATTTTTTTTGGTCAAAACAAAAAAAACTTTCATAATTTATTCAAATAAAAAATAACTCTACTTACAATTGAAAAAAAATTTATTTTTTAAAAACTCTTAATAAGATTTTACCATTAGAACAAAGAAAATCAAATTGTTTTGACAAAGATTCTTACATAAATTTTATAATTAAATATTATGTAAGAGCCCTTTATAAGATTCTTGCATTGAACATGCTCTTGTAAGCCATTGTGTTGGTTGTAGCACTTGTCCTTAGACAGCGAAACTGGTCTCGACCCATCAGGCATCCAGGTCTGAGCAGCGCAGGGACTGGGGGCTGCAGACCATTTCTCACTATGCTACTTTGCTTGGGCAGTATTCATAGAGAATTTGGCCAAAATCGGATATGAAGGCAAGAACCTTCATATGGCCCTTTATGATTGGAGACTCTCTTTCCATAACACCGAGGTATACTCAAATTAATTGGTCTATAACGAACGCTAAGACATCAATTTAGTATATGTTGTAAACAAGAAAAGAGAATGAAGAGAATTAATGTGTATTATTTCAGTAAATGAAAGGTCCTTTATATAGGAATACAAGAGAGGGTTTTACTTGGTGACAAAGTAAAACCTAATCTACAAGTAATCTAGAATGTTCTAAGATGGGCCTTTTAATGGGCATCCATATATTATTCATAACACTCCCCTTTGGATGTCCATTATAATAAAATAACTTGTAATGCGCCTAAGATGCTGTCTCATTAAAAACTTTACCAGGAAAACCCAATGGGAAAAATCATGGTTAAGAAAAAAAGAGTACAGCGCGCAATTACTCCCCCTCATGAGTTCATACGTCAAGATCTTTGAGATGACGTAATCCTATGTGATGAGCTAACTTCTTGAAAGTAGAAGTGGGCAACGCCTTGGTAAATAAGTCAGCCAAATTTTTGCTTGAATGGATCTGTAGAACTTGTAGATCGCCATTCTTCTGTAGATCATGTGTGAAGAAGAATTTTGGTAGAATATGTTTCGTTCTGTCACCTTTGATGTATCCGTTTTTGAGTTGTGCGATGATGCAGCATTGTCTTCATACATAATTGTTGGCGCTCCTTTTCCTTCAGATATACCACAATCTTCTCTTATATGTTGAACTACCGACCTTAACCATACACATTCGCGACTAGATTCGTGAATAGCTAACATCTCTGAATGATTAGAAGAAGTGGCTGCGATAGTCTGCTTCATAGAACGCCATGAGATAGCAGTGCCTCCACATGTGAATACATATCCTGTTGGCGATCTAGCACTATGGGGATCAGATAAGTATCCTGCATCTGCAAAACCAATTAAGTCTTCCTTGGATTGGTTAGAAAAGAATAACCCCATGTCTTTCGTACCTTGAAGTTAACGAAGTATATGCTTAATTCCATTCCAGTACCTTCAAGTAGGACATGAGCTAAACCTTGCTAATAAATTGACCACAAATGATATATCAGGTCTTGTATGAGTAGCAAGGTACATCAATGCTCCAATTGCACTTAAGTATGGTACTTCAGGACCAAGAACTTCCTCATCTTTTTCTCGAGGGCGGAATGGATCTTTTAAGACATCGAGTGATCTTACAACCATTGGGCTACTCAAAAGGTGTGCTTCATCCATAGAAAACTTTTTGAGAACATTATCTGTGTATGTCTCTTGATGCACCAGAATTCCATCATTTAGGTGGTCAATTTGTAGTCCCAAACAAAATTTTGTTTTCCAAGATGTTTCATCTCGAATTCTTTCTTCAAATATTCTACTGTGTAGGAAATTTCTGCAGGAGTTCCCATAATATTTAAATCATCAACATACACTGCAGTTATAACGAATCCTTTCCTAAATCTCTTAATAAAAATGCATGGACTGACAGGGTCATTCTTGTAGCCTTCTTTTATCAAGTACTCACTAAGGCGGTTATACCACATACGCCCTGATTGTTTTAGCCCATAAAGAGACCGGTTTAAATTTATGCAGTATTGTTCTCGAGATGTAGATTTTACTGCTTCAGGCAGTTTAAATCCTTCTGGGACTTTCATATAAATGTCATTTTCCAGTGGTCCATACAAGTAGGTTGTGACTACATCCATTAAACGTAAATCAAGTCCTTCTTTTATCGTCAGACTAATAAGGAACCGAAAAGTAGTTGCATCCACCACAGGAGAGTATGTCTCTTCATAATCAATTCCAGGTCTTTGTGAGAATCCTTGTGCAACTAAACGTGCTTTATATCTCACAATTTCACCATTTTTCGTTCCTCTTTCGTACAAAAATCCATTTATGTCCCACTGGTTTTACACCTTTAGGTGTACGGACTACTGGTCTAAATACTTCTCTCATTGAGAGAGATTTTAATTCTGCATCAATTGCTTCATTCCATTTTGGCCAATCATTTTTTTGTGTACATAGATACTGGTTCATGATCCTCATCCATAACATCAACTGCTACATTGCATGCAAAAATATCATCGACGTTGATTTGCTTTCGGTTCCATGTTATTCTGGACATGATATAATTAATAGAGATCTCTTCATTGTCAGGTACCTGAACTTCTTTCTGGGTCATGTCTAAGGTCTCTTCTTGAGATCCTTCATTCGTAATTACCTCGGTTTCACTATTGCCAATTTCTGCTCCTTTTCTTTTTCGAAGATTTTTATCTTTGGAACCAATAGGTCTCCCACGTTTCATACGTGTCTTAGACTCATTAGCAGGTGATTTTGTCCTTCTGGGATATTTATTCTTACTGGAGCATTTGCAGCTGGGATATGAGATTTGATCACACTTTTTGGGTCAGTAAAAGCGTCTGGTAGTTGGTTTGCTATGCTCTGTAAATGAATTATCTTTTGGACTTCTAGTTCACACTCTTTAGTCCGAGGATCAAGATAAGACATTGATAATTCGTTCCAACTTATATCTTTTTCCAGCGTTTTATTTTCTCCCCCTAATGTTGGGAAAACAGACTCATTATAATGACAGTCTGCGAAAGCTTTGAATAAATCCCCTGTGGAAGGCTTGAGATACTTGATTATTGATGGTGAATCATATCCAACATATATTCCCAATCTCCTCTGAGGTCCCATCTTAGATCGCTGTGGTGGAGCAATTGGAACATATATAGCACACCCAAAAACTTTGATATGGGAAATATTTGGTTCTTGACCCAGAACCATTTGTGATAGGGAGAATTTATGGTTACTCGTTGGCCTGATGCGAATCAGTGCTGCTGCATGTAATATAGCATGTCCCCAAGCAGATATTGGGAGTTTTGATTTCATAAGTAATGGTCTAGCAATCAACTGAAGACGTTTGATTAATGATTCTGCTAAACCATTTTGTGTGTGAACTTGTGCTACAGGATGTTCAACACGTATCCCAATAGACATGCAATAGTCATTAAAAGCCTGGAACATGAATTCACCAGCATTATCAAGATGATTTATCTTTAAAGGAAAATCTGGAAAATGTGCTCGAAGTCTGATCAACTGAGCAAGTAACCTCGCAAACACCAAGTTGCGAGATGATAATAAGGATACATGTGACCATCTACTAGATGCGTCAATTAGAACCATAAAATATCTAAAAGTTCCACATTGTGGGTGAATCTGCCCACATATATCTCCTTGTATGCGTTCCAGAAAATTGATTGATTCTGAATTTATCTTGGCTGGTGAAAGCCGTATAATCAACTTGCCTTGCGAACAAGCAGCACATGAGAAGTCATTAGAAATAACTTTCTGGTTCTTCAATGAATGTCCACATGAATTAGAGATAATTCTTCGCATCATTATTGTACCAGGATGGCCTAACCGGTCATGCCAAACATTTATGTCTTCTGTGGACTTTTGATTTACTATAGCATTTGCCTCAATCATATTGATTATGGTATAGTATAGCCCAGTGGAGAATGCAAGTAGTCTTTCCACAATACTTTTAGAGCCTTGGGTATTATTTGTGATTTGAAGGTATTCAACACTTCCTTTGCTCATAGTCTCAATATGATATCCATTTCTGCGAATATCTTTAAAACTTAGTAAATTTCTTTGAGACTTAGGAGAGTATAATACATCAATGATTTCAAATTTTGTTCACATAGGCAATGATATATTTGCTTTTCCAGAGCCTTCAATTATCTTTGCACTACATGTTATGGTACTTACACTTCCTTCTTTCATTGTCAAAGAAGAGAAATATCTCTTACTTTTGAGAATAGTGTGGCTAGTTGCATTGTCTGCCAAGCATAAATCTCCATCATTCATTGTTTCTTCAAATAAATAAATAAATTAAATTACTATCACATTAAATAATTTAATAAATAAGTAAAATAACTTGACTTAATAAATAATTTTAAAAATACATAAATTCATGTAATAGAAAGCAAAAATCCAAATAACTTAAAGCCAAAATCCAAAATCCAAAAGTCATAAAATATAAAATAAGAAACAAAGTTCTTTAAATAATTATTCTTTAATCATATTCTCATCTTCATTGAGAAAATCTGAGATGTCCAAGTAG